AGCCAGCAGGGCAGGGGAGCGGGGAGCGGGGCAGGAGCCCCCCACGCCCGCTCCCCTCGGCAGAAGGGGCCGGCTGGCTGGCAGGTGGGGGGCAGCTGCCTACCCCTGCGACCCCAGCTCGCTGTGCAGCGGGGAGGGGGAACGGCCCTGCCCTCCCTCTAACGGGTACCGCGCTCCCTCCAGCTCCGCAGCAGCCGCCCGTAAGGGATAAAGTGCTTTCACCATGCCTTAGCCACTGGGGAAGCAACTGCTTTGTCTCAGCCCCGAGTTCCCCGTGTTGCCCAAGTCTCAGATGGAGGAGTGGTTATGTTTACACATACAGTACAAAAATTAAAAGGCACAAAAATACACAGAATGCAGCAGACAGTGAACAGCTGACAGAGTCCCTAGTGTTGGAACAACAAGGATGTCAGAGGAATGGTGTGGAAGGGAGCTCAAGCGTGGCTCCGATGGCCTTCGCCGTCTCTGCCCGTGACTCCCTGAGGCAACCCTTCTGCTTTGCGTCTGGTTACGGCTTCTGCAGCCCCGTCTCTGCCCTGAGGAACCACAAACAGGGGTGCAGGGAGCCGCCGAGCGCTTGGCGCTGACCGGAGGGAAGCGGTGAACTGAGCTTGCCACAAGCGTCATGTCTCCATTTCTGGCGGGCAACAGCAAATAAATTATGGGTGCCACAGTGCAGACCAGAGGGGTTTTGAGCTGCTCGGAAAGGTGTCTTGTGGCTTCTTGTTAGGTGAGGGAGCCCTTCAGCCGCGGGCCAGGCCCACCCCCACCGCGAGGCTGGTTCGAGAACGACCCTGGCAGAGGCGACCTGCGGCGCGTCCGCGGCTGAAGGTGGGTCCCCTGTGGCACTGCGCTGCCGAGAAGGTCACTTCCAGGGCTGCGGCCGGCCTAGGCTTCGCTGCAGCACTCATAGATGTTGTCCTCCATGAGCGCAATCACTTGCTCAAACTTGTGCTGGAGCTGGGTGCGCTTCGTCGTGGGGTTGGCGTCCAGGGCGGCCACGATCTGCAGGAGATGGGGGCAGGTTGGTGGCTGCGGCGGTGCGGGTGCTCAGCTCCCCCGCTCCAACCCCAGCCCTGCTGAGCCCGAATCCCAGCCCCACTGCCGATGGGGAGAGCCCCCCCCATCAGAGCCCCCTGCTCACGCACCCCAGCACCCTCCAGCCGCTCTGGGGCACAGCGAGGCCCTGCTCTGGGGGTGGGAGGCGAGGGGAATGCCACCCAAAACCACAATCATCAAGCTGATGGCGCAGAGCGAGCCCACAGTGTGGGGGTGCAGGGGGTCAGGAGGCAGCTGGGGCCGGTGCCTTGGTGCGGGGTGGCAAGTGATTTTGGGTGTGACTGCATCGGGGGGCTCTGCCCTCCTCTGTGGGACTGGAGTTGGGCAGCCCCGCTTCAGTCTGGCCCAGCCAAACACTGCTAAAATCAGCCGGGAACAGGCAGTCTTCTCTTCCAAGAAGCCGTCAGCCAAGGGATAGGAGAGCAGGTGCATCTGTGTGTGCATATATTACATATGTGCATGGGATTATGCAAAAACCGATAAGCCCTTTTCTGTGGGACTGGATGCAGGCGTCTGACCGCTCGGCCCCAACACCCCCCTCGCTGTTCCCTCCATGGGTACGTGGGGCCGGGGGCAGCTGGACCCACTTACCTGGGAGCGATATCTCTTGGCGTATTTATATATCTCAGCCATGGCAACATTGGTGTTGAATTCGTTCCGGTATTTCTTTATAAAGACAGAAAAAAGAGGGCAGGAATATTAATGTGATGCAGCAAGCGAGTTCAAGACCAATCAGCTGGCATTAACTAGATGAAAAGAAGGCTTTGCCTGGGTGTTTTTGGTACTGCAGCATTGATGCCGCTGGACTTTTGACTGACTCCTTTAAGGAAGGTGCGTTGGTTCACATCAGAAATGGTCACGGTCTTTGTAAAGCCAGCCTCCGATGCCCACGCTCGGGAGCACTGTTTACCCTCTGTGCTCAAAGCCGTTTCAAAGGATGGGGCAGCGGCGCTCAGTGGCTGAAGCTAAAACACGGCGGGGAGACAGTTGGGTTGGAGGGAGCTGTGCTGCATCGCTGGCAGGGCCTGGACCCGGGGGGCAGCTGCCAGCTCCCGTGGCTGGTACCGGGGCCGGCTGCCAGTGGGCTGCCCGGGGGCTGCAGGGCCACAGAGATCCTTTCCCAAACTTCCCGGCTCTTTGGCACCGAATTTCGCTTCCAACTCCCAGTGGTGCCAAAGCCAGTTGGGTTCAAGCTAACTCGTGGGTGTTTACTGCAGCTCTGGCAGTAACTGAAGATGCTCGGAATTAGCTCAGATGAAGTTTGTGCGTGGAAGTTTGAGGCAAAATATCCTTTCTTGTTTGCTCCTTCCAGCCCCTAAGCGGCAGCTGAGCGCAGCCCACCTGCGGGCCCTGCCGCTCCCAGCGCCGAGCGGACTCGGTCTCCTCGCCCTGGCGGCCCCAGCCCGGGGCAGGCACCGGCCGAGCCCCCCAGCGCCTTACCCGCGACTCCTCCGCGAGGTGGGCGTTCATCTCCTGCTCGCTGAGCGGGGGCATGTCGTGGATTTGCTTGTAGTATCTCTGCACTATCTTCCTGTACTCGGGGATCTCCTTGGCGTACAGTAGTTTATTGGTGGGGGAGTCCTAGAGCGAGATACTGAGATCAGACACCGTGCCTGCCTGAAAACTTCTTATCCTGTTTGACCAAAGTGCTAACCATCAGACATGACTTCAGCCGCGGCGGGTTCAGGAACCAGCTACCACGGCTTTGGTCCTGGCTTCACCCGGATGGGAGTGCGGGGGGCTGGCGCCGAGGCACAGACCGGGTGATGGCAGAGCCGCCTGCTCCGACACACCGAGGTGCTGCGGGCAGGTACCGCCCGCCCGCGGAGCCACAGCGCCGTCCCGCTGCCCTCGTCCTACCCCGAGCTAAACGTCCATCGGCTCCGGTGCCCGTGGAGGTGGACTGTGTGGAGGTGTTCTAATTTGCAGCCAGGGAAGGCTAAAAACCACGCGCGGGGTCAGGGGAGGGGGCTCGCTGCCAGGTGATGCTCTGCAGAGGAGCGTAGCACGGCTTGTTGGATGAAACACTTGTGCTCCGTGGCTCTGCCTGTGGAAACTGGTAACGAGGGAAGGGCTTCTGCGTGCGTTTACTCGGGTCTCTTGAGCAGCCAGTTTGATTTAAACGGAAGAACAAAGCTCTCTTACAAGCTGAACTTTGCCAGTTGAAATGTTCCTCTTGGATTTTTCATGTAGCTTTGATTTATTTCGCATTGGCTAACCCAGCCTGCCTGGCCTATATTGAGTGCATGGAAAGTAATTAACAGAAAATACTGAGTTCTCTTGATTAATGTCAGCTTGGACAAAGCCGTCTTCACCTCCCAGCCACACACTCGGGTTGTACCAGTGAAGGCATAACCCCGCCTGCACTCCTTGCAAACACAAGCATGAATGATTTTAACCTCCAGGCAATCTTGCCCCGCTGATATCATTACCCTGGGAATGAACTTGGCCGACTGGCCTCGCGCTGCACCCCGAAGGGAAACGGCCCCGGGCGCGGGGACAGAGAGGGGAGTGAGATCAGCGTGCCCGACACCGGGGCAAGGGGCGGCTGCTGCTCCCCGGCGCTCGGGCAGGTGCAGCGGGGAGGGAGGATCTCCAGAGGAGAGGAGCACGGCGGGGCTCCAGCCGCAGAGGCAGCGTCTTCAGCTGCGTCGGGCAGTAAATAAGGACGCCCGGGGTAGCTGCAATCTGCTGCTGCAATATGTAGTCTGGCTAATGCTGCAGGGGAAATGGGAAATGGGCACCAGGCTGTGGCACCAGATCCCACAGCAGTTTATTTTCAAACCCAATGACAAGGCATTACAGGAATACAGCCAAGTTACAGAGCCTGCTCATAACATTCTTTTTTTTCCCCCTTAGAAACACAAAAGAAACCCATGCTGCCTCTTTTCTGAGTTCTTTTTTAATTTGTGTCTGATTTGTCCACTCTGTATTACGAAGAGATGGGTACTGGTTTATTAACTGCTTGCGCACCACAGATGTACAGAGTGAGTCTGCTCTCACGTTTGCAGTATCGAGAGCAACACGCTGAAACCAGGGGAAGAATCCAGCCTGGAAAACATTCAGCGATATGCTGCGTGTATATGCAAGCTGATTTTTATGCTGAGGATTTATTCTTCCCACATTACTCAACAATTCCTTCACTTATGCTATTGTATTCCTGAGAAATGTTTCCATCTGCTGTCTGACTCCAGCTGACCCCTCTTCCCCTCATCCACAGCTTGACAAGGACAAATCGTAGGTGTTTCGTAACATATGCAAAAAAAAAAAGACCAAAACCCAAACAAACAAAAAATCAAGCGCTCATTAGATCTTCCTCCAGTATTAACCTCTCCCAGCGAAGGCTTCCTGCTGCTCTCGGTCTGGGGGAGCGCAGAGCAGCGCCCACCTCCGCCCCTCTCTCTGGAGGGTCCCCTCTGCTGCCACCAGCCTCTGGGGAGTGGGCGACAATTTACAGCATTTCTTAATAAAACTTATTTATGTTGGGAAGTTCCAAATGTCAACACTGTGCTCGGCCAAGCCAGCGGGAGAAAACACAAGTGCTGGACGTCTCACTGCCCTGCAGGACGGTGCGTGGGAGAAGAGACGTGGCCCCTGCGGGTTTAGCTTCCCTAGGAGGATGTGATGGGTCCGCCGGGCTCTGGCCGCACGCCGGAGGGGCCAGTATGCGATGGAGGGGGCCAGCGTGCGATGGAGGGGGCCAGCGTGCGATGGAGGGGGCCACCTGGGCAGGCGCAGCCCGTGTTGACAGAGGCTCGGTCACCTCCTGGGCTTCTCAGGGCTGCTCCAGGCGAGCGGCTCACAGAAACCACCACCATGGTTAAAGCTTCACCTGAAGCTGCGACATTTTCCATCCTGGAGTCACGCCACCCCTCAGCTGCTGTGATGGGATGGTTACACTAATGTCATCCCCTAAAGCTGCCCTGACCCGTGTCTGGGGCCTGGGGTGCAAATTTCAAGCTCAAGCCTGAACAAAGTGGTGGGGAAGGGACGGGAGAACCTCATCCTTGGGGAGAGCCAAAAACTCAGCTGCATGAACCTGGGCAGGTGGGTCCCAGGCAGCCCTGCTCTGGGGACAGGTCGGGCTGGGTGACCCCCGACAGTCCCTGCCCACCCGTGCTGGCCCGTGGCCCCGGGCAGGAGCGAGACTCCCCCCCCCATCGGTACCTTGCCCAGCTGCAGGTCGGACAGGGAGCAGGCGTCGATGAAGGCCTGGGCGATCACGGAGAGACAGGCGTCGATGTGGTCTGTCTTGTCGATGTCGAAGACAAACTGGGGGTTCTTCAGGATGTTGACCCAAAACCTCAGAGGTAGGCTGTGAAGGAAACAAGCCAGGAACACACACTGGGTGAATTTTTGTACTCCAGAGGGAGACAGGAGGAAATGCAGGAAAGATGATGATAGAAAGTGAAGAGAGGGGGAAAAAAAAAAAAAGAGGATCCAGGTTTTGCTATTTCCTCACACGCCGGTAGCACAGCCCCCTGCCTGGCTAGCGGGGCAGGCACACGTCTCCACCCTGAGGAGACATTTCTCCAGGCTGAAGCACGCGGCACGGACAGGAGACTTTGTGTCCAGCCTTGTCCACCCTCGTGCCTTCGGCAGCTCCCTGAGCCTCCTCCCTGCGCTCCAGGAGAGACAGGGGCGGGTTTCCCTGCGCGGGGCTCTTGGATCAGGCTCCCCACCCGCTGGTTTCTGTAGCAATGGTGTCAGCTCCTTCCCCGACAGTAACTGTCATCTGGTTCTGATGGTGAGCCTGGCCCCGTGAAATGCATTTCATGTGTCATTTTTTCTGCTCTCATCACCTTTTCCTTCAGTTATTTCACTGCTCATTTGGCCACAACAGTTTCAGTACATCCTCGCCCTTCCCACCATCCCTCCGCAGCAGCTGAGGAGTGAAAGCCGCTGTAAGTCTTTGCTCTACTGGCAATTAAAGGTAATGAAGGGTAGGCAAATCTGTAGCTCAATGGTTGTGTCTTTGTGCCTTCTATCCCAGCCAAATTCGGTTTTAATTTTCACATGTTGGGCTGGAAACAGTCCCTGGAGCCTCGGAAGTGCTGAGCCTCCCCCTGACGCTCCCTCCCAGCTCCCTGCTCTCTCCGGTTAAATCTTCCGGTTTCTCCCCTATTTCCCCCCTTCACTTTGGCTCCCAACCCCATTCCTGCGGCTCATCACATCCCTCAGGCACCGCTCCCGGCGGGTCCCCAGTGCTGCAGTGCCTGCCAGCACGCGCCTGTCACAGCACCAGCTCCCGGAGTCCTGTGAATACCCTGGAGTCCCAGCTTGGTTACAGAGATAAGTCTGGAAAACTGCCCCCAAGGACTGAAAAGCCAGAAAGCAAATGAAAAGGAGCCAAATATGTTGTTTTAAAAATCTCCATGATGTTTTAAGACCTGACATGATTTTGGACTCTGTCTCAGATCTTCAGTGCTTGGAGCTAACACCATTGCTGTCTCCCATCATCCCGTCCCTCTTCTGTTTCTCCTCTAATTCTTTGTATTTGTGTGCCAGCTCCTTCTGCCCTTTATCTGCCTGTGTCTCCTTCCAGCTCGCCATTCCCCTGAGCTGTGTTTGTTCAAAGCTCTCCAGGCCTGTGTTTGGCCTCATCTTTCACTGCCCTGCCGCCACCCCTCTGGTTCTCCCAGTCCCTCTTCTACTTTTAGCAACGTAATGATTAGTCCAGGACACCAAGGCTTAGCAGCTGCTGCTCCTGAGAGACGGAAGGAAGGAAAGAAAAAAGGGATTTCCTCTTCCAAACCTGTTGGTCTTCCAGATGTGCATAGTGTCAGGGTCCGTGATCCCTCTTTTCTCTGCTTGCTCCTCTAGGAAGTCAAAGAAATACTTCACGGCCACAGGTGGTTTATCATCTCGGATGCTGAGAATGGCTTTGAACAAGTCGTCCAGGAACTTCTGCAGCGTGCCCTGCGGGACGAGCACACGCGATGGAGAGCGGGGAAAGCAGCAGCACCCGGGCCCAGGAAAACAGTGTGAGGGGCTGAGACTGCTGCACACAGGGGGAAATCCTCTGCTGCCAATTGGATACATCGGTAGAGAAAGGGGATGCCGAAGCAGGAGGGAAAGGTTTGTTTGTGCATAGCGATATAATTAGCTTGCATTTGGATTTAATTTCTTTTGGCATTGTGATTTTCCTTCTTACTGCTAGGGTCTCACATCTGTGACTGTTCTGCACAGTAAATACAAAGGAGCCTGGAGACTGTTGGCCATTCTTGTGATCTCTGCTCCAGTAAGGCATCATGCTGGGATTAAAGATGGGCTGGGAGCCCAACTGCTGGAGCTGAGCACTCGCAGGGAGTGGGGAAGTTCAAATATGAACTAAGATCGCACACTGCCCCGGCTCCCCCAGCTGAGCATCTCTTTCTCCTTTCCCGGCGGGATCTCTCGCTGGGGAATGGGTCCAGGCTAAACTGAGCAGCAGGAGCCCTGGGGTGGTCAGCACCCCCTCCAGTGCGCAGGGCCCAGCGCAGCCCGGGGCGCTCCCAGGAGCGGGGCTTCGTGCTCCCAGGGTGAGCTGGGGAGCTGGAGGGAGCCCGAGGAGCCAGCGGTGCCCGGGACAGGGGTCCCCTCGCCCCTCGCGAGGCAGCGGCCCCGCGGTGCCCCGGCCCGGAGCAGGGTCCTCGCTGCCGGCCGCAGCGCCCCATCCCACCCGCCGCGGGCAGGGCCCCGTCCCCCACCTTGGTGGAGAGCAGCCTGGTCAGGTAGATCTCCGGCAGGACTTTCTTCCTGTGGCTCTGCCTGTGGGACTTCTTATGTTCAACCGACTCGTCGGTTGGGAGAACCTGGTCGATATAAAACACATGTTCAGCACGCTCCGCGCTGGAAGTGTCACGCTGAATTTTCCTTTAAGTATAAAATTTCAACTGCTTATAAAATTCAATTAAAAAGCAGTTACTGTATTACAAATACACCCTTATATGGCTTTAAAAAAGTGATTCATAATGCTCAGTTTTTCTGACATTTGTTCCTCTTGCGCTCTTTATTGCCTCTCCCAAGCTAGGCAAAGAAAATGAAACAATCAATCTCAGTTTGCAAGTTATTCTGCTCGGCTCCCTGGTCCCTGCAGCACTCCGTGTGCCGGCACTCGAGGCTCCCAGCACAGGGCTTCCGCAGAAACCAGCTTTTCTGAGCTTTGGAAAAACTGCAAGAGTGATCAGCCAGTATTCCTTCCCTGGCCTTTTTAAAATCAAAGCTAAATATTCCCCTGTCCAGGTCAATTAATTACTATAATGACCTAGCAAGCTCTTTAAGTCCACCTTGGCGACGTTTCAGGTGTGCACATTCAGCGTCCCGCCCCTTCTCCCTCCTTGCTCTGCACGTACATGCGTGTGCACACGTTGTGTGTTTGTACGCTATTTGCACACGGAAACTTTAGCAGAGAAAAAAAAAAAATCAGGCTATAAAATACTGTTGTTGTCCCTAACACTTTTTTTCTTATCAGCTTTTAGCAACGTTTAGCACTTTGTACTTCCAGCGTGGCGCACAAGCAGGAACTCATAAATCTCCCCAGCCCGGGGAGGCGGGCGGCGTGCCAGGAGCTCCGGTAAGTGACTTGACCAAGGCTGTGCGGGCTGCTACCGCCGGCGCTCCTCAACTCTCTCTGGCTGCTGACAGCCAGATCAGGCACAACAATTACTTTGTCATCCTGGTAATTTTTTATTACGTCCCACAGTACTAAAGCTTGTCTACAGATAACCTTTCTGTGCCTCTCTGAGCCCTTCTGAAGAAAACTAACGAGCTCTGATCCAGCTTGTTCATCACATCTGACGTTCTAGCCCACAGAGATGAATTAAGTTAATATCAGCGAGGCTGAGGAGATCTTCTCCTTTCATTACACACACTGAAAACCAGGACCCACACACTTAAGTGCAGGAGAGACGAGGGATCGCTGCGCGCAGGGGGCGGGGACACGCACAGGGACCAGAGGCCTTTTGACACCTGTTTGCAAGAGCTTCCTCCGGCTGCTGCCGGGCAGCCAGCATAAAGGTGACGTTCACCGAAATACACAGGAGGTCGGGTGGCACCCCCCCACTGCCGCAAGGAGCCCTGCCCCCAGCACCGCGCCGGCCCCCCCGGCTCCCCACCACGCTGCCACCAGCCTGCGCAGCCAGGAGCAGCATCTTACCAAGTGGAAGTACTTCTCGGTGTCCAAATCCTTCACTGTGAAGAATAAGAGAGAGATGAAGCAGCTCAGTCAGGGGACCCAAACCAAAACCTGCCTCTCGGACGCCCTCCACGGCAGGAGGCGTTTCGCTTTCCCCAAGAACCCCAGCACTGAGCTGGTGATCCCCAAGTGACCTCAGCATGCTGCTTTGTTTTGGGGTTGTTTATCACCTTCTGGGGCATGTGGCAAACACCTCAGGAGAAGGTATTTAAGGAGGACCTGAGGTCTCCTGAGGGGTGCTTTAAGAGGGACCCAGAGGACACAAGCGCAGCATCGGCACAGGGGCACCCCTGCATGGCGATGCCCCAGGAATCGCCCAGCCCTAGCAAGGGGAGCCCGTGGGAAGGAGGGAGGAATGTCTGCTGCAGCCCCATGGTGCGCTCTGCCCCACACGAACACCTCAGCGTGGGCTGGAGAGCAGCACAGACCCTCCGTGACCCCGAGGGCTTGCCGGCATGTGCCGGGCTGCCGCTGGCCAGTTGCTCGGCAGTGGCAGCCCCAGTGCTCAGCGTCTTCCCCAGCACAAAGGTGGCCCGAGCGATGCCCAGCTCTGCCCAGTGCTCCACCTGACAGGGTGCTCCAGGAGTGCTGGTAACACCAGAGCCCGCACGGGCTAACGCCACAGCCCAGCGCCCAGGCAGGGGGGCTGGCAGCCAGCTCCCCCCATCCCTGGCCGCGGACACCCCTCCCAAAGCACAAGGGTTTCTGCCCAGCCCCCAGCAACAGAAGAAGCGAGAGGTTACCCCTGCTCAGCGTGCTGTCCTTCTTGTCTGACAGACTCATGGCCAGCGACGCCCCTTCGGGGATCTGCAGAGGAAGGGAAGAGCAGACACTGGCGACTGGAGCCGTAACGGTGCGTCCCACGGAGCCTGGACGGCCCAGGGAGATCCCGGGAGCGCGGGGTGCTGGTGCGGTTGCTGCTCTGCACCAAACATCCTCTCGCCTGCCCTGCCCCTGCTCCCCAGCTTGGAAACTGTCCGTAAAGCACTGCCCAGCGTGGGAAGGGTCCTTTCAATGCAGACACGAGACCGCGGGGTTCTCACACCCAGTGGGCATCAGGCAAACACCTGTAACCCCGACACGTTTTTGGATGTGGACAGCGGGTGATTCGCAGAGGGGGGAGCGCTTCTGCCTTTCTGCAGCGGGAACGCGCGGCCGCAGCCCGGACCCGCGGGGCGGGGGACCCCCTGCGCTGGGCTCCGGCTCCGGGCGCCGCAGGGACCCTGACAGCACCGCGCTCTGCTGCTACCCAGATAATAATCATATTAATGAGTACTCAGCTCCGAGTCTGATTTTCCATGCACTGTTACAGGCCAGTGAGGATTATGCTCCCAGGCATACCAGGGAATATGGAAATCATGTAAGAATTTCTGGTTTCATTTAATTTTAAAAGGGAAAACGGTCAAGACAACAATTTGATTCGCCACATTTCCCCACATTTTTGGCCTCCGCTCCTCGACAGCATCCCTAGTCCCTGCTCTCAGGGCAGGCAGCGACAGTTGTGCCCGCGATTTCAGCAGGAGCACGGATCAAGAGCAGAGTGATACTAATCAGCCAAGCTGGTGGCCGTTGGGAATAGGAGCTTTTTTTCCCCTCCTCTTTCTGTTGTCAGTAGTAACTTGTTTTGCATGAAGAGTGTTTAATTAGTTTCAGTGTGTTGCAATATTAACGAGCTTCTCGCCAGGGCAGATGTCTATTCCCCGGAAGCTCTCACGGAGCTATGGCAACCTCCCTGCTCCGTCCTGATGATCCTGTTTTTGGAGGGGGAACTACAGCTCCCTCCGAGGCCAGGCAGGCTCTGAGGAAGCAAAGCTGGCGGGTTTACCTTGTAATGTGCTAATGTGTTGAGCTTCTTCCTGCCATCCTCCACCACCGAGGTGTCATCAAGGTCCCGGAGGATGTAGCTGTCGGTGCTGGTGGCAAACCACTCTGAACACAGAGAAGGGAGAAGTGAGGCACCCGCCCGAAGGAGGCAGTGCCATGGGCCTGGGGCTCTGGGGACCAGCCACGCCATGCTCGGGGTGGCACAGCCCCCTGCCAAAGCCTTTGGGGCTCTGTCAGACCAGCGCAGATCCTTAGCAGGGGAAATAGTGAGGGGTTTCCAGACTAGAGCAGCCTTGGACGGAGCTGGAAGAGGTGGCAAAGGCTCTGCTCGGAGAGACGGGGCACACCTTCCCCCTGCCCTCTCCCCGTCTCGCCCCAGGAGCCACGTGGGACCCACCTGGTGGAGCAGCAGGCGGGTGAGGCGCTGTGAGCGGGGACACGCCGCGTCACCACGGCGAGGGGCAGGGATGGGGCCAGGGCGTTCTGCGGGGCTCTCTGGCACTGACCGCGCTGACCGTCACACCAGGGCATGTCCCTGCGGCCCACAGCGAGGCCCTGAGCCGCCATGGACAGCCTGGGCTTCTCCTGCCAGCACAGGGCTTGGAGACTTCTTAAATTTTGGAAGAAGCTGGCCACTGGGTAGACAAATGACAGATCTGAACCTACGGCCAGACGGGAGCCCATGGGCTCAATTATAGCTGCTTATGGGCAGTATTAGCAAGTATTGAGAAGCCATCGGCAGGCTCGGGGGGTTTAGAGGGTGCCTGTTGTGCAGCTAAAACTAGTCTTTGAAGGGTGCAAGTCCAAGCATCCCACTGCTCCACTTGGGCTTTCCTAAAGCTTCTTTCCAGTGATGTGCCCAGCTATTCCTGTCCTCCAGTATCTGGTCCCATCACTCATCCCTAAAAACCATCCCCAGGAAAAGGCTGCTCTGACATCTGCTCTCTTGTCAGCGCTGCTTCCCCACGCCCTCTGACCCACACCAAGAGCTTCCGTGCAGCATCAGGCGTTTCATCTGGTTTTAAATGCATCTGGTCCTTACCCAGGTCGACGTCTTCCACCCTTGGCCACTGGGAGTAGGGGACATTCTTGCAGAAGGCCTCCAGGATCTTCTCCTTCACTTGGCTGAGCGTGTCCGTGTCCATGGCCCTGACGCTCAGGGAGTCCATCCCGCAGCCTTGGAAGGAGACGTTGAGGTTCTGCAGGCAGAGGCCGAGTTAGGGGTGACCTGTCCAGCTCTGCCAGAGGCTGCGGCGCCCGCGCAGCTCTCACTGGCCCCGTGCTGCTGGAAATCAGGCTGAACAAAGGCGGTCGCACAGACTTTACCGCTGGCGAGCGGCGCTGATTGATGGCCCCCGGAGGCTGAAGGCCCCGTTTGTTGACACAGCCAGGAGGACCTGGGGAGCAACACTGCAACCTCCTCTCACGCTGCCTCGGTAATGGGCCTTACCCCGACACGCAGGGACCACCTTGGGGGCGGGAGGGAAGGTCATCCCCTGTAACCAGCCATGTCCTCAGCTTCTTGGCTCCGACCAGTGACTAATGGGACCGCCAAGGCTCGTTGCTCAGCCTCTCCCTGACACAATAGGCTGAGCTCCTTTGTTTAAACAAGCTTTAGGCACGTCGTAGGTCTGTGCAACACTGGAGCCCACCACCAGCACCACCCAGGAACCTGCTCGAGAGCGTGCGGGACCGCGGGCCAAGGCGCTGCACAGGGCTGCAGGCTGCCACCAGCGCCTGCTGGGACCGCAGCGATGCACGGCTACCGCAGCGGAAAGCTGCAGGGCAACGAGAGCAACTCTCTTCCTATAAACAACCCTCTCCTCTTTCGGGAGAGGCTGCCCTGCCAGCGAAGCGAGGAGAGGCAGAGTCCAGGTGCCAAACGCCACGAGCGCGGCCTCTCCCCCCGCCTCTTCTAAGGACACCCGGTCACACGCCAGTTGTGGCCGCGATCTTCACAGCCTGGAGGGTCCTCTGCAAATGCCGCCTCCCAGTGCCAGGACAGAGCATCCTTGCCTGGGAACACTGTCCGTGCACGGGTGAAGTCCCGTTTGCTCCCCAGCATTAGAGGAAGATGTTATTTCACAGACTGTACCGGTGTGCTTTAAAGCTGCGGTTCAGGTACCAGCAGTGTGGGCGACAGCCGGGGAGTTAGCACTGACCCTGTGGTTGCTCTTCTTCCTCCAACACACCCTGTTCATACTTTCCTTTCTCTTCCTATGGAGGAGGAAGCAGCCGTGCTTCCCCTGCTCAGACTTATGAAGTTACCATTTCTGCCGAGAAAGCTAATACTGTGCGCCCCGCTGGTAACCCCTCTCGCTCTGCACTGTAAATTTACAGGTCAATTGGTAACAGGAATCTGCAGAGGACGTGGAGCTCGAACCTGCTCCGAGTTACGGTGATGCACATCTGGGGTAACCCACTGACTGTGGTGAAGCTGCTCCAGATTTGTGCCAGGTAATTGAAAGCAGGATTTGACCCAGGCGCTGGAGGGAGCTGAGCCCTTCCCAGGCACAGCGCTGCTCCGCCCTGTTCTCCTCGCCCAGAACCGCTCTTCAGCACCACTCCGGCGAGGGCCTGGGCGAAGCCTCAGCCCAGGACTCGCTCCCACAGCCAGCGCCTTCCCGCTGCTCGGGATGGGACGCTCTGGCCGGGAAGGGTAAACCTCTTGCTTTAATTCTCTGAAAGTGGCACAACAAATTTTCTCACCTCGCTCCACCCCTCACCTGAGCTACTCGGGTGTCCCACCAAGGGACAGCTCGGCAGCGGCGCGGTGCCCGTGCGGGTCTGTCGGTTACACGGTCGGTGAGATCAGCCTCTCGCACAACCACCCCCTGGCTCAGAGCCGCGGGGCGCGGGTACTCACCCTCGGCTTTGCCTCGATGTTCTCCCTCAGGAGCCACTCCTCGTTGAGGGTGTACCTGGCTTTCCCCGTGATGGCGTCGATGGAGCCTTTGTTGATCTGCTGCTTGATCGCACAGATCAGCAGGAAGAAGGGCTCGCCGACCGTCTCCTGGGGAGGGAAAGACACGTCAGCAAACTGGGCCCGGTGGTGGCAGCTCCTTCCAGTGCGTGGCGGGGACAGGCTCAGCACAAACACCGACGGTGCCCCGGCTCCCACCAGCACCTCTCTGAGGCTGTTCAGAAGTTTCCAGACTCGTGGCAACGTGACAGCGCAGATGGGGATGAGGCCGTAACAGCCAACAACAGCCCCAGGCGACTTTCAGGGAGGGTGAACTGACTGTCAGCACCAACACAGCCCCTCCAACTCCCGCCGCGGGTGCCGCGGGGCTGTGGGTCGCCACGGGCCGGCTGTGCCAGCTCGGGCTGTCTCGCAGGCGGCGTGCTCGGGCGCTGTGCAGAGCGCAGGGGCACAGGCATAGCTCTGTTGGTGGGTCTGTGCATGCACAATGCTCAGCAAAACACAAACGCGCATTCATTTACATGTGAAATAACGCATGAACTTCAGGGAGAATCAGCCATACCCCAGTACAGGGACCCTGCTTGCAATCTGACAGGGCGCAGGCTGTAGCGTACTGCGCTCAGCAGGGCAAGGATGGGGCTGATGCGCACAAAAATCCGTGTCTACAGAGACATCTGGGCGCCCAGCTTTCTCAGGAAGGTGTCAGCTGAACGCCTCCTTGCGCTGCCTGCTTTGCCACTGAAATCCATGGAAGCGAGCCCACTGCGTGTGCTGTGGCTCTGGGAACTGGTGTTCATACTTGTCATACCACAGCAGAGCCCCGAACACAGCAAAACAGAGAGGATCAGGGTCAACAAGCTGTTCCCATGCGACAGCGAGCAAACACACCATTTAACTCCTTACATTCATCAAACTTCATCTTATGGGAGAGAGGTGAATTGTGACGCTGCTGCAGTGAAAACACAAAACACAACGGGGACCAGCTATTTGTGATGCGGTTCAGCTGCACGGTTTAACGCCAGATTTCTGAGCCACTTCTGCCTGCTACGCTGATGTGCAAGTAAAACACAAGCTATTTTCTTAAGAAACTTTTCAGTACTGGAGTACATCCCATTCTCCCTAATGTTCATGTGTGATTTCCTTCCCATGAGGCAAGTGCAAATTATTGCACATTTATGTACTTTCTGAGCATCACATACACCCCGCACAAACACTCCTGCCATCTGAAATCCAACTCAAGACAACAGATATCGAATGATTTTGATATTTCTCAGCTAGGAGCTGCTAAATCCTGTTCAATCTGCTTCTTAATTAAGACTTGGTCATTCTTTAATTCTAATTGCCCTATAATTGCTAAAGCAATTAATTTGATGTCAGTTTTGATTTGGCTGCGTTCGGCGCGGTTGACGATCAGACGCTGCAGCAGGGCTGTAGGTGGGCACGCACCATCTGTGCCAATGGTGCACCCGCTTTCTTTTCCGAGGGCAACTCTTTTTATGAACACGGGGAAGCTCCTCGGGCCTTCTGCCCGGGTTTAACGGCTCCCTGCAATGCTCCTTCTGAGCACGCAGCACAAAAGGGGCGCAGAGAGGCAGAGCTGTGGGTGCGGGACGTGGAGGCAGCACGGCTTCCAGAAAGCAGGGCAGGATGAGAGGTCGTGGGGCCGCAGAGAAGCTGAGGATGGCGAACGCGGTGGTGGCAGTGTCAGAAGACATAAGGAAGAGTTGAGTTTCTGCGAGAAAGGCAGGAGCAGGAGATCACCGGCGAGGGGATGACGCGGGCACGGGGCATCCCCGGCTGCAGCACCTGCCTTGCCCCCGCGCCGCCAGGCTGACCCTGCACCAGAAGCGCTGACAGGCCCTGCCACCACCGGGAACTCTGCTCTGTGGGACGTGCGTGAGCACACGGCAGGGACGAGCCCAAGGCTAAATTCAGCGCGGGGTTGTGGAGCCTGCCCCGTCCCCGCCGTGGGAAGCTCTGGCCCCAGCCAGAGGCGAGGGGGCTGCCAACGGCTACGCGGCCGCCTCCAAACACACGAGCAGAGCGCGGGTCCTGCCGGCACGGGAGCTCGTTACAGCCCGAAAGCAGCGCAGGCTGCCCGGGCCAGGGCTGGCGGTGCGGCACCTTCCCGTAGCCGCTCTTGAAGGGGCAGCCCGGGGCCGCGCGGGCGCTTCGGACCCACCGCAGTGTGCACGGGCAGGATCGGCCCCAGGCCTGGCCAGCACTCCGCCACCCAGATACTATTTCTGTTCGGCTTTTTGGCTTTCAGGCTCAGGAACTGTGGGATGTTGTGGAAATCTGCAAAAGTGTTAATCAGACAGCAAATTTCAAAGAGGGGAAAGAAGGGCTGGCAGTCAGGGACTAGAGATAAAATGGCAAACTTGGAAACCTCAAGCATTGTTCGGAAAACTCGTCTGGAAATGAATCAAAACTGTCTTCGGATTTGGCTAGTTGGGAGAAAGGAAGTTTAACTAGAAGAGATCAGTGCTGATTCAGGACAAAAAAATACTTAAAAAAACACAGTCTGGGGCCTTTTTTCCTCCTATTGTGAAGGTATTTTAATGAGACTTCATTTTCATTTTTGACTGAACTGTTACAGGCTCTTAAAGCTACCCAGGGCACTGAAATAACTTTGCCGTAATGGAAAGCACAGTTCAGGCTGGCATTACTTGAACTGTTTCACGCACGATGAGCGTGGGAGGGCTTGGGTTTTATATGCTTGGGAAAAAGAAAAGGTTTAGAGCACAGCCTAGATTCACATGTTGCTGCCCTATTAACAAGGCTGACAAATCATTGGAGATGTCCTCCCAGGAACACTTTACAGCCATTTCCAAAGTGTCTTGGTGAGGCTGGGGTGGGAAAAGCACAGAAAACAGCTGCTTATCCCAAGTGCCTGCTAATTTTGGATGATTATCTATTTGCATTCTGTGAAGAACCAAACCTCAGCTCCATCCCACATGCTACACTTTGGGAAGCTTGGACCCAGACCTAAAACCTGAATTCCAGGACCTTAACTTTAACTCCTGGTCCCTGATGCTGTTAGGGACCAGGCACAACAGCACCACGGTATCTCATGGGGAAGGCAGGCCTTTTTTTTTCAGCATTTTCCACCAAAGCTGTAGCAGAAAGCAGAGACATGGACCATTTTATCTATGATTCTCACTCGGTCCTGCAGAAACAGAGGTCTGCAGTCATTGTGCAAGTGCTGCAAATTCCCCTTGAGTGCAGGCCCAGGCAGCAAGCCTCCTGCTCGTCCTTCATCGCGTCTCCTGCACACAGAGAGCCAACCCACCCCCTTTAGAGTGGCCACTCCGTCGCCTTCAGGTGCCCTCCACATGTTCAGAACACTAGTGACTGTGGCCTGCAGCTCCCTCCCAGCTGAAGACAGCTCCTTCAAATCATCTTCCCCCAAAACACAAATGGATGGACTGTTAGGCAGAGCATTAATACAAAACAAATGTTTCGAGCATGTAGCGTTGACTTACAAGGGAAAATACAAGCACTTGGAATTTTTCCACTGCACAATGGCAGGGACCTTTGCAGCAGCTGTTTCAAATAGATGTTGTGATTAATGGGGATAATTCAGGAATGAAAACCAGACCCATCGTCACACGTCTGACCGACCAGTGCTACAGGCAGGCAGGCAGCCCTTTTTTTTTAACCAAGAAATGCCTCTCTGAAGGCAACAGAGTTCAGCCCAGAGAATGCCAGGCACAGGGGAGGCGTCTGACTCTTGCTCGTATTTAAATGCGAGCCCTGCACAAGGAGGTGCCGTCTGTCTGTCCGCGGTGGTTCTGAGCTCAGCTGTGCTGTGAGGAAGGTCCCAGCTCCACCGACCCAGACCGACCCCCGTCCCTCTGCACAGCTGAGCTCGTGTCCCACAGGGACAGTCAAAGGGCCGCTCTGGACATTTCTGGCTGACCAATTCTCTCCCGCCCATTTCAGCAGGCAGCGCGGACTCTCCTCTGAGCAGGTCCCCGCCCTCACTGGGGAGCACACGTGATGTGAGAACCTCCTGGAAACCAACTCTTCATTACGCTCTAGTATGGAAATCATTTGCTTTTCAGAAATGGGAAATAGAAAGTGCCACGACTGCCTTCACCACCACGGCTTTAGGCTGAGCCCGCGAAGCAGGGAGGGCACTGCCAGCCCCTGCCAGGACCCCTCTGTGGCTCACAGCTCGCCCCAGCACCCCGTGGCCATGGGGACGGCCACTTGGCCCCGCTGCCGGCCCAGGACAAGCCTGTGGTGACGGGTCCCTCCCCGCCAGGCGCCCCGGGGAAGGGCAGTGCGCTGGCACTCCAGAGCTCGACATTAATTAGCTCCATAACGTGCCCAAGTCTTTAGGCCCACATGATAAGACTCAACTTTCTTTCCTCTTTTTTTTTTTTTTTTTTTTTTCCCCCTGAGAAAGCCTTCTTGCATAATGTCCATTTTTAGCACAAACTGGAGTTGGATCAGATGCCTCACATGTGGTCTCCACTCTCCAAAAGGAGAGATCAGCACTTTTTTTCTCCAATGGTTTAACTGCAGGCAGAAAAACTGAAGTTTTAAAAAAAAAATCACTAATTCACAGTTTTCTGCTCTTACAGGCTGGATAGTTGTGCTGCACTGGCACAGCCAACCTCATTCGCTCCTGAAACTTTTCTTTCATTATACTGGCTAATTGTGGGAGCTAAAATGAAAGATTATGAACTACAAAACCACAGGCTTTAGGACACAAAGTGATCATCAGCTGAGATCAGAAGACATTATGATATGTATGAGGACAATACAATATTGCTTCTGTGGCTATAGCAAACACTTTGGGAAAAGAGATTTTTCAGAGGCTTTTTCAAGGCTCTCCCCTGTGGGTAAAATGGGGTGTCCTCCAATTAACTGCCGTGGAATCAATTAAGTTATTGCTCAATCCTTCTGGGAAATTCCAACCAGAACTGGCAAACGTTGGAGATCAAGCACTGAGCAGATGGACTGCTGATGTGCTCCGAGATGCCAAATATATTTCTTTTCGCTACCGTCTGGACAGACACCCCACCTGTGCTGCTCCCACCCGCCCAGCAGTGCGGAGCCGGGAGCCCCCCCGCCAGCGGGCACCGGCCGGAGAGCCCCCACGGCTGCCGAGCTGGTCAGAGAAAACAGCAAATAACTGGAACGCTTTCCAAAACCTCAAGCCATTCTGGTTGCTTGTCCAACTCCCCTACGGCTCCCTTCTCAAGCACGGTGCAAACACGAGTCCGTGCTCTGGCCTTGGGAAAGGCCTGCTGAGACGGCTGAGCTCACCAAAACCCCAGGCAGAAGTGGGGAAGCAACTAAACTTTTCCACACTTGAACCTTTCAATACACTGGAGTTTGCCAGACATTAGTGACCATTCAGGCGGCAATGCTGGCAGGTATTCAGGCCCTCGGCTGCCCCACACACCCCTCGCTGAGCCGAACTCGCACCCGCAACAGCAGCATCTGCTCCTCTTACTCTGAGATAGCTGTACATGCAGATGGACATCCAGTTGGTCAGCATCTTCTCCACCACGGATTCCGTCCTCCTCAGCATCAGCTTGGGGTTTTTGGAAGCCGAAGCATCTATCAGATCCACCAAGAGGTCCTTCATGATGCTGGTGTAATACTCCAGTTTCCCGTGCAACGCAATAGTGAGCAGGGAGGCCAGGTTACATCTGAAACACAGGATTGGGCAGGACTCACACACCCATCCAGCAAGACTGAACCGCCAAACGGCATAAACCCCCCAACAAAACAGAAAGGCAGCATTTCACACAACTTCCATGAGTGTTCTCAAGTGTGTTAAACTCCAAACCCCCTTTCAGTGCAGCAGGACCGTGGGTCAGCTTGCACCCTCTTACTGGTAAACCAAGTGTTCAGGGACCCAAGCGCTCACGAGCGAGTCACTCATTGGGCCTTCTGGTGCTCTTCAGGTTTATGGCCATGTGTAGAAAATATAAATAATAGAAAAAGTATTTCTTTTTCTTGTAATAGAAAAGTAGGAGGCAAGTGCAACTCAACCTTCAACGGAAATGCACAGCTCCAGACACGGGCTGGATCGCTTACAGGTAAGGAATAAACCAGCCTCCTCCAGCTGCCAGGCCCTTGGTTCTGAAGCTCATACCTGTCTCTAACAGCAAAGTCCTTCTGCTGCTCGAGAGCATGGACAAACACAATGAGAAAGTGCTTGTTGTTGAGTAAGGTGGAGAACAGCGAGATTCCTTCTTCCATATTGGGTCTGCAGTTTTCAGGGATCTAAAGAAAAATTTAGAAGCAGAGTGAGAAAAACCCTGCTTATTGTTTTTCACAGATTCACAGAATCACAGACTGGTTGGGTTGGAAGGGACCTTAAAGCCCATCCAGTGCCACCCCCTGCCCCGGGCAGGGCCACCTTCCACCAGCCCAGGGTGCCCAAAGCCCCATCCAACCTGGCCTTGAACCCTGCCAGGGAGGGGGCAGCCACAGCTTCTCTGGGCAGCCTGTGCCAGGGCCTCACCCCCTTACAGGGGAGAATCCTTAGATCTAACCTAAATCTCCCTGCGGGCTGTGGGATTCCCATCCTTGAAGATATCTGACTCAGCAACCTCACCTCGCTGGAGCTGTTTAAGCAGACCTCCCTTCCAACCTAAGCAAGACTCTGATTCTTCCAATTCCTACTTCTTCTCCACTGAAACCCCGCTCTGGGACAAGAGCAGCTTTTACCACATCCCTGAGTGGAGGAATCTCATCTAGGATGAACTGTGTCTGGGAGGGAAGTGACACAGAGTAGGATACACACAGGAGGAAAATCCCACAGCGGAGCCGGGGAGGATCTCAGGACAATGCGAGAGCAGCTCCGAGATCTGCCTTCTCCCACACGGAGCTGATGCTGGGATGTGTTAATTGTTTCAAGTGATCAGGCGTCCCACACACACCACAAGAAAGCGCATGGCACTGTCAACACACGCGAGGATGGTTAGCACCCGCCCCGGAGCATGCGTTGTGTTGTTCGTGGGTTACTCACTTTCCATTCCCCCACCAGGAGCGGGTGGGTTTCCTGGACCTGGGAGCCCACCTGGGAGCTGAGCTGCGGGGTGGGCAGGATGTAGCACTCCTCGTAGAGCGAGGAACACTGCAACCAAGCACAGCGTTAGGGGAGGGCGGCGGCACCCGGCCACGGCCTCCGCGTCTGCCGCGGCGCAGCGAGACGGACAGACGTGTCATCGGGACCGAGGACCACCCATTATGAAGAAACGCGCTGGTACGGTTTACAAAGCCTTTAAACACTTTGCAAGAGCCTCTTGAATGAGCAAACAAACACCACTAGAACGGGGGGAGGCAGATGTCTGCACAGACAGGAGGCTGTTAGGGTAGGGAGACTGCAAATAGACTAATTTGACAGCTAGAAAAATCCCAGAAGAGAAAGCATTATAGAAGACTGAGTCAAAATAGAGGAGTACTGCGTGTTTTAACATATGTAACTTTTGAAACAGATGGGAAAAATGTCTAAATCTCTAACATTCATACAGCAGTCTGAATCTTAAAGACTCTAGTGTGCAGATATATAGAGTCTGGATAACTTAAAAACCTGAGTAATAACTACTAATGAAACACTCCGCAGTCATAAATCATCATCTCACTCCTCACCACTGAAATGCAACTGCCTCAGGGGTGAAATACAGCCGCTGTTAAGGGCACGCAGCGACAGAGCGGAGCAGCCGGTGACGGGAATTACGGCACCGGCGCGTCTGGTGCGGCCCTGGAGGACGCTGCAGAGACAGACGGGGAGCGGGCGCCCACGGCGCGTTTCACGGGGAGCACCAAGCACCCAGCCTTCGGCAGGGAGCAGGGAAAGGGGGCGCAGGGACAGCTAAGGGGCCGGCGGCAGGCTGCCCGGGACAAAGAGCCCCCTCGCCCCAAACAGCCTTCAGCCTCCGCCAAAGCGCGGGGTGGCACTGGGGAGCTGGGGGAGGCCCCAGCACCTGCTGCTCTTTGGGAGGGGGTGTCCAATGGCATCCGGAGCGACCCCTGGGACGGAGCTGCCGCCAGGCTCCTGCTGGGGGCGAGCAGGCCCGACCTTACCTCACGCCCCGGGAGCTGCTGCTCCGCTTCTGACAATAATTGAGGCTGAAATATGTGACAACTAAATATATAACACTGGAATGATTTCGCTACGCTGCGATAACCCTTTAGCAGAGAGAAAGCAGAGTCCTGATCTGGTTAGGAAGGACCTGGGAGTGATTAGGGGACCGTGAAATGTGGCATCGCCTTACTTTGGGGAAGAATGTCCGGGTGACAAAGTGCTTGTACTCCAGGAACGGGATCCCCTGGCTGCGGTTCAACTCCTTGGTCAGGTCTGTCATGTCTGTCTGCAGTTCCGCAAAACCTTACACAAAGAGACCCGCAGATGGTAAGAGCTCCCATACTCCACCAGCTGAGACAGTAAGCAGGCTGGCACTGAAAAACACGGCATGTCTCATCTCTGCCTCCTCGAGCCTCTCCCTCGAGTGGGCTGACGCGGGGTTTTCTTGAGGAGCAGCAGATTGCGGTCGGGTTTACCCGCCAGCACCGTACATCAGCAGCGACAGAGGCCACCCCGGCCGCGGGAGGGCAGGACCAGCCACGCACCGCGGGGACGGCGGACGCGCGGACTGCGTCTCCCCGTGCCCTGCAGTGCTGCAGTTCTTGTTGCACCCAGTGGAAAAGCAAACTAAAGATTAGTGGGGCCCTCAAGCAACCCCCGGACGCGGCCAAGGGCCATTAACCCTGGGACAGGGAATCCAGTGGCACTGAAGATCAGTGGCTTGCCCAAGCCAGGCAGCAAGGCTGCAGCAGAGCCACGCTGCCAGCTGCCGAGCCGCACTCACAAACCCTGTCGGAGCTCAACGGCGACAACAAAATTCTGCTGTAAATAATTCTATGAACTTCTACAGAGCAGAAGGTGAACAGCTTCGACCCTGCTACTCTGTCACCTCCCTCCTACGCTGGCTCCTCCTCAGAGCCCAGCACGGTGACTTACCTTTGCGGATTTCCTCCCGGATCTGCGACTCCATCTCCTCCATCTGGAGCAGGGTTTTCTGCCAGTAGCGCTCAGCTCTGCGGCTCTTTGTGCAAAACACAAAGAGAGCTGGAAAAGAGGAAGGGAACAAGCCTTTTGGACTAGGGCTTAGGAGCAGCTGCAGCTGGGATCAGAGCAGTCCTCTGCTGACACGGGTGCAGAAAGCTAAACTCAGTGTTGGTTTAACACCTACAGCAAGCCTTGTATCTGATCAGGCAGTTGTCGATTATCTGTAAATAAGTAAATCCAGCTGGAATTTAATGATCATGCTGTAACTGTCATCTTCAATTTAGGTCTATATTCAGCTTAACTGCATACGAATGTATTCCAGCTGATTAACAGATACAGATTTTAAGACATTTACCACCTGTATTACAGTGTTCATGTCTGACAGTCTTCTCGTGCCTCCAGAAATATGTTTCTAATGATGGGTGGTGCATTTAATAAATAGTGTGCGTTATAACTTTTATTAAATACAAATCAAATCCCTATTAGAAACACCTCATTTTCTGTGAACTGGCAGGTTTCTCGCCGCACAGTCATTCTGGGCAGGCAATGAGAAGATACCCTAGCCAAAGGACACAGGTGTGTTGCAGAGCTTCCAGCGAGGTGAGCAAACTGCTGTGCCTGCTCCAGATGCGCAGCTCAGGACGCTGCTCTGTCCTCCATCCTCTCTGCCAGGCACCTGTCACTGGCTGTCACTGACGACAGGACCTCGGGGCGGGTGGACCTGGTCTGGGACAGCCTGTGAGCCAGCCCTGTTCCAGTCACTGCCAGTCCAAGACCAGTTTCTCACACCCTGCTTTATTTATTTATAGTAGCTACTGAGTGTTTGGGGGAAAACGGTAAGTTTATAAATATCACAGGCTCAAGTCACAGAGTTGAAGCAGGGACGCAGCCAGCAAGCGCCCCGCCCTGCAGGAAGGTTTGATCCTGGGTACTGGCTGGGTCCTGTACAGTGGCCACTTGCTGCACCCAGACCAGTTTCAGACGCTGCACAACTGCAGCACTTGGAGGTTTCCTAACACACGAGTGAGTCACCCTCACCCCTCCACACACAATGAGAAAAAACCTCAGCACAGCTGGACACTCCTGGCTCGGATCCCTTACCTACGACCGAGAGGACCAGCAGGATGCTGCAGATGACGATGGAGACGATGATTGCAGTCTCTCCTCCCCCAAGGTGCAGCATGGCGATTGTGTAGTTGAACTTTCCAACTTGGATCTAGAGGGACAGAGGAGGGAGAGAGGCAGGAGCTGAGTGGCAGCTGCGCAGCCGAGCGAGGAGGGACCCCGGGGCAGCGCTCGGCAGCCCTTCGCCCAAGGACGCGCTGACAACGCTGGCTCAGCCCCCAGGCTTTGCAGGCTGGGCTGGGCTGGGCTGGGCCGGGCTTTCACTGCTGGGCCTTGGGGACTCCACATGTCTGAGCAGAGCCCAACTCCCGTCCTGTGTGCTCTGGTGGAAGGCCGAGGCTGGCTCACAGCAGGCTGCAGAACCGCAGCCGTGCCCAGCCCAGGGCCAGCACAGGGCTTTGGTGGCAGAGCTGAGGGCTCCAGCCCACGGCCCGGCCCCACCGCACCCACCCCAGAGCAGGAGACAACCCCTTCTTAGAGAGCTCACCCTCCCATACAGGACTGCCCGGACTACTTTTACTAGAAAACCACTTCCACTAATCATCCGACTTCGTAATGCCTCTGAAAAGCCTTTGAATCTTTTCTCCTCCAAAAGCAGAACTGCTGCCACTCAGGAGAAGGAGGGCAAATAAACCTTAAAGTCTCTGAAATACAAATAAAGTAAGGGAATAAAAATAAATAATAATGGGACCAGAGATGAGTAATGATCTTGCAGCTAAAACAGTGGGCTGGGTGTCAGGAGGTGCTGGCTCTGCTCCCAACCTGTACTTCTTGTGACACAGCACAAACCACTTGAGCTCAGTCCTTCGGTCTCCTGATCACCAGAAGGGAAGAGGCCAACACACATCACAGGCAGGCTGGTGAGTTTGCTCCCTGCTGTTTATAAACGGCTCTCTAGGCCCCTGGGATGAAAAGGTTCAACAGCATCATCTGATAAGGAAAACTCATGACCACACTAGTCTTTCACTTCTGGAAATGCCAGTTTCACTTCTCTCAAGGAATGAGAAGCGAGAGAAACTTCAGCAAAAAAAATGAAATGAGGTAGGAAAGAAGAGAGAATAATCATATGAGTACATCTGTGTCACAGCACTCCGGGAAAGATGCTGTGGTTAAATCGGAGTCAGCTCAGTGCCACAAGCAGCCCCTTCCCACCACGTCCACGCATCGGACACGGCGCAGCGCACAGCCCTCCAGCAAATCCAGGCCCTTGCCCTTGGCAGCGCTGGCGAGGGCACCGGTGCTGCCAGCCGCAGGCGTCGGGCAAGCCTGGAGGTCTGTCCCTGAGCCGCTCCCTCCGCAGGCAGGAGAGGAGGGACTGTCCTGCCGCGGGCAGCGCCGGCTGCCACCCCCAGCTCGGGAGCACCTCCAGCACCTCCCACCCCACGCTGGACCACAGGGCCCGGCCCCGCAGCTCCAAGCCCAGACGGACGCTGGCGCTGGTGGTTTCTGGGGTGGTGCCCCCGGGCAGTGTCCGACACGAAGAGCTTCCGTCCCCTCGCCGGCAGCCGAGGTGGGGATGGCGGCAGGGAGCCACGAGCGCTGCGTGAGCATCTGCGGCGCTTCGTCTGACAGTCTGCACAGCACCCTGCCTGGCCTCGACACCGCCACCCCTTTCATCTGAAATGCTGCCATGAGGCAAGTCCTCTATGCGTTTTGAGTCTTTTTTTCCCACCAGCTCAAACTTTTGCATTTGCCAGAGGAGAAAAACCCATGCTTGCTCTTTAATTCAGTGTTTGAGCAGTTTAGTCATGAACAAAAATGGGTTTGAAGGCCTCAGCAAGCTTCTCTTGTTTGTTCTGACAGGTCTACTCCATGCAATTTTTTCTAAGGGGAATTAATTAGGCTGCAGGTTCAACAGCAACATGTCCTGTCACCAGCACGTGGGGGGGGCCCGAGGACACCCTGCTCCCGGGAAGAGCTGTCAGGGCTGGGCAGGACTCCAGGGCTGCCTCGGGGGTCACTGGGAACCGCGCTCCGCCTAACGGGATGGATCCGTCTTGCAGCCTCCCAGGGTGTGAATGGGATCCCCTTGGCACTTCTAAACTGGACCAAAACCAAGCCCCAGCGCACCTCAGGCACGCCCAAAAGGGCTACTCGAAAGTGACCCCCTAAACACAGGGAGGCTCAGGAGCCCCGTCTTCACCACCTGCTCCTTCTCTCCACAGACGGCTCCTGCTGCGCGGTGCAACCTGCTAACACGGACCTGGCCCGAGAACACCTTCACAGAACAGGCACACCCAAGACCACAGTCAGAATTCAGACCAACAGCAGGGCACATTTTAAGGGGCCATTTTCCTGCGCCGCGCTCAGCGCAGATGTGAGCCCTACCCTCGAAACAAGATCTGGGCTCTCACACCAGGCGCAACAGCTCGCCAGAAGAGAGGACCCGCCTCGGCCGGGCAGTTTGCTGCAGCCCCGGGAGCTGTCCCTGGGCAGAGCCGGCAGCGACCCCTGTGCGGGTCCAGCCCTGTCCCACCAAAGCTCCTCCAAGGATGTGAAAGGCAGCTGCTGCCCGCGACGTGGCCAGCGAGTGATAACTCAAACCATGTATGAGGGTTTAGTGAGTACACACAGACACGAACGCTCCTTGATTGTGTGGCTGCACTCTCGCTGCTGGTGCACTCTGAACAGCTGTGTGATGCTGCAGGGCTGGGTATCATTCCACTGCTTCCCAGGGACCTGCCAGGGCATTGTCCTGAACGCTTCATGCCAAACCAAGGCGAGCAAACTCATGAATTCCTCTTCTTCCCCGAAGGGATTTCCCTGTTTCTCAATTCTCTCTACAAGCAAAATTACCCCATTTAAAATTTCCATTAAAATGAATTGGGAAATTCTGCTACTTCTGCAGTTCCCTGTTTCCAGTTTGCATCACAATTTCATACACCATGGACTGTAACCAACAAACTGGAAAACCCTGTCAGTGAATTTGTGCCCCTCTCCTGGGCAGCACAAGCCTACAGCCTCCTCAACCCCCTCTGCAGCCTTCCTCCTCCTCCTCCTCCTCCAGTCCCCGCCGCAGGCTCCCACCCGTTCACTGTTAGCCACGGACTGGGAGGGGGGCTGCAGGCTCTCAGAACGTGGCCATGGAGGCATTTTCTCTCCAGATACAAAGAGCCACAGCCACCCCCCTGCGCGGCGATGGGCCACATAGGACATGAGGGAAACCGAGGGCGAGAAGAGCAGTTAAGTCAAGCCCTCTGTGGAAAAAAGGACAGGAACAAAGTAGTGTGGATTTTGCAGATGAACAACAGCCCTGAACACCGAACCCTTTGCAGTGACAAAACGGCAGCCCCTGGGAAGCAACAGGAAACCTTCCGGCCTCTTGCCCTCCCCGGTCACAGGCAGGGACCCATCTCCAGCGGCTTATCACAGCCTGGGAAGGGTCGGGCCCTCGTGTCCGCCTGCAGCTCTCCTGCTGGCAGGAGGCAGCCAGCTGACTGCAAACCCTGTGGAAATCCCCAAACGTATCCCATGAGGGGCAGAAAGAAAATTACTGCAAGTGACAAAACCTCACATGCCTGGGATTTCACAGCGCCTTACAAGAACTGACAAAATCCTGCCCCGCGCAGCTCACAGCCCAGTTAACTCAGGAGGCAGCTGCTGGCCCAGCGTGGCAGCCCCCGGCCAGCGTCAGCCCCGCTGGCCCCTGCGTCCCACCCGCGAGTCACCCCGGGAGCAGGGAGGCTCCGGGAACTCACCGTCACTGGTAACTGCCTTTCTGAGGTGCTCAGGGACTCGTTGACAGAGCAGTGGATGACTTTGTCCGAAACAATCTGGATCTCACACGAGATAAGGCCAATTTTCACCTGGTACTCATTGCTTTCCAGGCCCAGGCTGTCAGGCTCTTTCTAATGACAAAAATAGAACCAGGATGTCAGTCTTTAGAGCGGCGGTTGGAATTGCAGTGGATTTTCCTGCCTTACTTTCCGTATTCCCTGCTGTTTTTCAGACCTGGGGGGACTCTCCCTCACCAAGGACATTTTTCCAGCGCTCCACAGGAAGCCCTGAATGGGGCCATTCCCCATTTTCCTGTTTCCCATTCCTCACTCAGCATGGGGCACGGGACAAGCAAGCCCCTCATGGAACCTGGAAAAATCTGCTTTTGATCTGCCCTGGCTGTGCCCAGCAGATAAGGATCTGAGCGCCCACCTGGGAGGGCGGAAGGATGTACAGCAGAGGAGATAGCCAGGGGATGCGTCTGCGGCCCTGAGAAAGGGGGAGTGTGTTTCTGAAGCACGTTGCAACCAGTGAGGATATCCTGCACTGAACAATGGCCTTTGAATTACTACTGCGCATTGTCCGAGCCACTCAATCGCTGCACCCCGACTTCCTTGTTAAGGGGGCTCAATTCAGTAGCCAAAAGAGAAGAATGCATGACCTGTTTCTGCAGGAATAAATAGCTATTGTCAGGACCTTCTGGAGTACCTGCCTGATGTCAGGCCAGTGCATTATCATTCTTTTTCATACGTCCAGTATTTTATTTAGCTTCTTGCTATTACAGCCCCTTCAAACGCAGCTCTCTGCCGTGTGCCTCAAAGGGCATCCTGAGGCCAGGCTGCGGCTCCTGCCGATGGGAGATGCGGGTGCAGCATCCTGCTCCCACACAGCTCCTGCCTCTCCACTCCGCACCCACCCCCTTCTCCCTCCTGTCACTGGGCTGGTACTTGGGACCGAGGAGCTTCCCCGTGGGGAAGAGGCAGAGCTCTAAGCGCCACTCTCTTACGTGTATGACCAGGGTTAAAGGCTCGCCAGGATGGTGCTTGATCCACTTCTCTTTCTTGGCTGTGAAGAACTGGGGGTCGGCATAGTACTCCAGGCTGAACTTGCTGATGTGCAAGGCCTCCTCGGGGTACATCTCCTCGTCCAGAGCCGGACGGTCGTCCGCGTAGAGGCGACCGTTGAGATAGAAGTCGACGGGCGCGGGCTTGCTCCCCGCAGTGACGTTGGAGGCAGCTGGAGAGGGGCAGGTGATCACGGTGTCGGTGAGAACCCTACAGCTCTGAAAGCAGGAGAGAGCACACACATCAAACTCCGATGGCCTGAGTGTTCCCACCCAGCCCCGCGCCAGCCCAAGCTGTGGCAGGGGCCGAGGCCTCGGCTCACGCTCTGAGCGCCCCCCGGCCCCGGGCACACGGCCCAGCTCCCGGTCACCGCGCAATACCCCGCGGGGACACCCACCGTCTGCTCTCTGCCGATGCCACGGACCAGCATGGACACGTTCTGGACCAGCTCAAAGCCTCTTCCTTCCAGGGTGATGGTCCTGCCCCCGCTTGGAGGAGAAGGGAAGAAAGAGAGAGTGACTGCAGAGGACCACACAGCAGCGGGGTGCGACGGCAGGGTCTCCCTGCTGCCATTTTCCCAGGGATGTTTCCCAGCTGCTTGAGCAGAAAATGTAACCTGACAGCCAAATCTTCTCCCTCCTTAGAGCAAGCATCCACCCCGCTACCAAGATATCAGGGAAGGAAGGAGGAGCAGCAGCTGCTGCAGTGGAAAGGGCGGGGGGGCTCTTCCAGCAGCAGAAAACTGTCCCCTTTACTCCCACTCGCCAGAGGAGCAGCCTGCCTCTGCTTACCTGCTTACACAGCAGGTTGCCCAGGCCACTGGTGGTGTAAGAGCTTAACCTCCAACCCCCCCAGCAAGGGCGAGGAGATGATCCTTGCCCCTGCTCCACAGCGACCCGCAGAGAACTGTAAGTCTTGGGCAGGGAAGAGACCCCTTTAGGGTTGACAGGGATCCTGCATCTCCCAGACACTTCTGCTGCAGATCAAAATGTGAAAGCTGTTTTGTGCTTTGGATCCGCTGCCTGGGGAATGTGAAGCATGGGCCTCTCAATGTGCAGTCAATTAACGACAGCAAGGAGAGGGCCCTGATGCACGCAGGACCGCGAGGCAGAGTGAGGGGTGGGGAACCGGCCCCGCCACTCTGTCCTGGACAGCAGCAGCGACACCCCGGACTGACCTCCCCTTCCTCCCTGTCACACCGATCCGTTTGGGATAGCTGTCAGGGAACTGTCAGGGCTTAAATCCTGTTATGCAAAGACCACTCCAGACACAGTGACTTTGGGCCCAAGGCCCTGAGAGTCAGGTTCTCTGAAGTCTGCCGATATTGCCATGCAGTTATGACCCAAGTTTCCAACTAAGAGCCTGTCACATCTGCAGATGACCGGTTTGTGACTTCTGTTTCATTTAAAACTTTGCTTACACACATTATTTCAGCAATATGGTAAGAAAGATAAATCAGATCCAGCTAAATTTTTACACAAGTTATTGAGCCCCATGGTCAGCAGCCCAGCAACACACTGGAGCAGCCAGACTACACAAGCAGTCTGAAGAGAGTCACATTCCCAGGGGTCTGAAATTTGGAAACTGCTGTAAATACTAAGAAAGCAGACTAAGGGGATGAAGAAATACCCTGGTAGTTTCCCTTGTGAATATGGGCAGTGTCATCCCTCCCCTGTCTCCGTGTCCAGAGACTGCTCTCACCACTCAGCACGGTTCAGGAGCCTGTCAGAGCTGAGGCTGGCTGAGTCACTGCTGTGCCTTGCCATCAACCCTCCCGCAGCCCGCAGCTTGGGTGCTTGGGAACGCCGAGACGGGGCTCTGACCCGGCGGGACCCAGCTGTCAGAGCCTGCGGCTGCTCCTGCCCGAGTGTGCTGCTCACACCGCGGCCCTGCCCGCGCAGGCGCCGGACTCGCGGGCCTCCTGGTCAGTCCTGGGCTTTCCAGGCTCCCCAGCTGGGGGAGGTGGGATTTCACCGTGGTATCCAAAGGAACAGGAGCCTGAGAGCTCCATGGAGAGACGTGAAATTAAAAGCAACACGCTTTAAAAATGAAATACTGTGACCTTGGGGAAGGCTGAAATCCAAAATTACAAATCTCAGCTCATCCTCCAGCAGTTTTACTGCCAAGAAAAATCCTCAGGGTCTCACAGAGCCCCCCACCTGCACCTCCTTAAAGCACCCACCAGGTGTACACAGAACAGAGCCTGACTTCCATCCATGTCCTCAACGCGGCAACATGGGCTATGCTGAAGCCCCCCGAGAGCCCTCTGCAGTACCTGCCCGCCAGGCAGCGTGTCAAACCCCAGCGCTGGGAAAGCCCCTTTCTCCCGGCAGGACCCTGTCCCACCAGCCTGGCCCTGAAGATGCAGACGCGTGCCAGCTCTGAGATGAAGTCATGATGCCACAGTGGCATGGCACAGGGCCCCGGTGCTGTGCCCAACCTCCCAGCTGTGCTCCAGTGACTCCTGGGGCTCCGGACACAGAGTTTGCTCAGGATCTGCTCAGCATCTGGGTGGCTTAAAGCACAAACAGTGCGAGCTTGGAGCAGGCTACACCAGGATACTCCGATCAGCTCTGCGCTTGGATGGGAGAGCCCTGCTCACTGCTGCATTCAGCAAAAATTAAGAGTCTGATCTCAACAAAGGCCACAGAAGGAAGGACAAATCCTGGCAGACTTGGCTGTTTCCCCCAGGGGAGGGATCTCACCTGATTTGGCTCTTTTTAGGGTTGATGTCTGATATAACAGGGTTCTTCTCAAACTTGAACATGATGTCGTAGCTGGCACAAGACTTGTTCTCGAACTGCACGCAGACGGGCACGGCTGCGGTGAGCTCGGCGGACGGCATGGTGCAGGTGATGGTGCTGTCGTTGCGGCTGCACGGGGAAAGGCAGGAGAGCTTCAAAGAGGCACGGCAGGGAGCGCGGCCAGGGCCGGGGAGCGCGGCCGGAGCTGCCCCTCGGGACGGTGGCAGGTGTTAACTACGCTGCCTACTAACGAGCGCTTCTCAGCAAACACCGTCCCAGGCTGCCAGACCGATTTCTCCCGCAGCTGAAGGGGAAGGGCAGGCTCCTGCTTCCTCCCGCTGACAAGACGGGAACGTACAGCAGGGGTTTGTTCTGACCAGCAAGCTGCCACGGCAGCGGGACCCGGGGCGTGCAGGTGCCTCCTGCCCTGGCATACGTGGGAACGAAGCCCACGTCTACCTCGCTCCGAGGGTTTTGGACCCAGTCCCAGACCACCCAAGGGGCCTGGCAGTGTGCTGCCGACGGTACATGGTCACTGCCACCACGTCACGGCCACACCAGGGTGGTCGCTCGGCCAGAGGAACCCGCGCACCCTGCGCCAGGCAGCCGCACCGCGCTGCCCCACCGCCGGCCCGCTGGGGACGCTCCGAGGCGCAGCAGCCCGGGCAGTGGTGCCCCCACCAACACCCCAGCTCTTCCCGATCTCCCGGGGACAGTATCAGCCTTCCTAATGCTTCGGCTCTGGTCAGTCGTTCAGTGCCAGCCCCCAGCCCCGTCCCACCTGAGGTCAGTGCACTGCTTGGAGCTGTTGACGAGGACTCGGAGCTCAGAGCCCACGTCCAGCTTGCTGCCTCTGATGGTCACTCTGGTTCCTCCAGCCTTCGGGCCGTTCAGCGGAGCTATGGACTGCACCACGGGAAGCTAAAAACAAAGGGGAAATCTGTTTTCTGGCCTGGTAAATTCACAGTTGGATACTCCACACTGCACGTGGGAATCACTTCAGTAAATTTAAGTATCCAGGACGGTGAGGCTCTGAAACAGCAGCACAGCAAAAGCTTCCCCTGGCAGGGTTTCAGAACAAGGGGAGAGGTAAAAGTGCTGAGGAGCGTGATCATATAAAACCTCTGTGACTCTCTGCAGTCCCTAAATTCTGACAATAAGTGAACATGAGTCCAATCTGGAGCCCAGGATCCCATCGGTCCCCTGAGATTTCCAATGGAGGGTCCAGAGCTGGCAACAGGTCAAGGTCCATCAGAAAAAGGAAATTTCTCATTCATTCCAGGTCCCACCATCTCTGCCCTTCCAGATCCATTTCCTCCTGCATGCGAAGATAATGCTAAAGCCCTGCTGGATAATGGCCTTGAGATCTGTGAAAACAGCCACCTGGGTCTAGATAATTGAATATCAAACTCCTTCTTAAGGAAGCTTCAAATCTGAATCTCTCGAGGCAACGGGAACTAAGGGGGAAGTCACTTTGCCTCTCTCCATTTTCAGCAGAAATTAGCATGTGTGTTATCTGCATTTGCAGCCCCTGAAATCTTCCTGAGATTCATGAGCGTGAGGCTTTGATAACTAATGCAGCGCTGAACCCTCGTGTCTGCTCCACCGAGCACCCCAGGAGAGTCTGCTGGGCAACCTCCCTGCTCCAGTTTGAATAGAACACCAAGGGCAGAGCAAATAATTATTTCAAAACCCTTCCATAAGGCACTTGGTAATTCCCCGTCAGACACCGCCAACCCTGGAGGCACGAGACTCGCTGGGACGTGGTGGAGGTGGCTGGAGCTCACCACCACAGCCCATCCCTCGCTGCAGCCGCCAAGCAAAACCGCGCCGGGGCGGACTGGGGAACACGGGCTAAGCTGCTCCGCACCGCCTGGTGCTAATGCCCTTCCCTGTCAATCCTAGCACACAAACATGATTATTAATAGCTATCCTTGCCCTTGTCCTACTCTCAGACTGCTTTATTGCTCTGCAGCCATTTCCTCTGTTGTTTCTGATCATTACACGTTTCCACAGGATTCATTTTGTCAATTTGTATTTCTCTGAGTGTCTGCAGGCATCTGTCTCCTGCCCTTGGCCCCTAACCTATGCATTCAAATGTGCAGTTACAACAACAGCAGAGAGGATTATTCATGCTCCCCAAAGCCCCCCAGCTCTTCCCCTCAGCGAGAGCGAGTGGCTACAGCTCTCAGTGCACCACCAGCACTGATTGCCTCCATCACAGCTTCTGCAAAATCAGCTCATTTGGCAAATTCCACTCATCCATAGCCTGCTATAATGTCCTGCAGAAGTCTCTCGATCACGTTTCTCCCTCCTCCTCAGCAGAATTACAGCTGAATTCTGTCTCTTCTAGATATTTCTAACAGGGACTTTGCAAGATGTAGCACACAAACAATATCTGGTATTTTACAAAGGACCTTCTTTGCAAGGGCAGTTCTAACAGTCTCTGAAACTTTTTCAGGTAAAGAGTTATCAGTGCTCAAGCTCAGGTCTCACCAAGACCAGCCTTGCATGGTGTAGTCTACTCCATCTTCAGGCCATCACACGTGAAAGGAGAATCAGGAAAACTACAGGGTGTTACTTGGTTTGCAAATGGTGTGGGAGCCACTTTTGGTGCAGAACACAGCACCAGCTACACGTGGTGCAGCTTCGCTCCGTCTGCACGCAGCAGGGCACGCTCTCGCCTCTTCTCCAAGCTCTGCTGAGATGCGCAGACACGAGGCTGTGCCGCCCGAGCAGAGAAGGGCTCCTCTCCCGCTCCCGGAGCAGAGCCTTCTCCTTGAGCCTGCGCAGGAGCTGCCACGGACCCGGCCTGAACCCAGTGGCTGGCTTTTGCTGCTCTTGCTTTTGTTCAGCGCTTCTACAGGTGTTTCCTGAGAGGGCTTTTCCTTGCACGCTGAAAGTCGGCGAAGAAGCCGCCCAGCCCCTTCCCTCTCTCAGGGCCTCCTCCCCTTCGCCAGCGCGGCCATGGCCCCGCAGCGGGCGGCGCAGCCGAGGCAGCACGCGCATCCTGGCGGCAGCACGCCAGAGACCCCAAAGCCAAGGCCTGTGCCACGCAGTACCTCGCTCCACGCCAGATACTGATCTCCAAGATGTTCTGGATGTGAACGTGGATACCTGGAAAGGAGGGGACAGGTCCCAGAGCAAACGTCCTCCCGGGAACCTCCGCCGAGCCAGGCCTGGCAGTGCCCTCGCCCGACGGCCCCCTCCCCATGAGCTGCTGCACCCCGGGTAACCCCCCCGAGCCGAACACCTCACACGTGATCGCTTACAGGGTGGGGGATTACACTCCATGACCCTGCCCTAAATTCTTCACAATGGCTACCAGGAATCAAATGTCATTTCCTGGGGCTCACGTCTGCTTTCAAGCCACTAGACTGCAGCACAGTCTGTTCTTCCCCAGCTGAAGCAACAGCAGAAGCACAAAGGCTCCAAGTAAACAGCGTGCCCTCGGCACCCAACCTGTTGTGTTCGCCCTGGACGCATGGGGCTGCCCGTGAATAGCGTCTAGCCAGAGACGGGGCTGCTGGTAGCGGGGAGATGCAGAGATTTCTTTCAGATTTATAGAGATTAAAGTTATCTTTGTGAGATGGCACACTACAACACTACAAAGGGCTTTTCTTTGTATAATGATGTGGGGATAGCTCAAGTCTAATCCCTACACATTATTCTCATGCTAAAACTAAGACAATCTCAGCAGCAAAAAGTACCAGTTCTAAATAATGTGAGTCCACTTACATCTCACAGAGAGACTTTGCAAGCCTCAAAAAATCTCACAGGTCGTAATAGCACTTGAGAAAAAGAGGAGGAAGAAAAGTGATCTCCTCTTTAAAGCAGGAGAAACAGCGGTACAGGCAGGACGGGAGATGCAACACTGCAGGAGCTGGGACTGGGGGCGAGGTGGTGCCCGATGACACCCTGACCACAGCCCTGTCCCTCAGGCTCAGGCTGGGATTTGCCAGACCTCGCTTGGTGTCCACAGGCGAGGGGACACATCAGCTGCTCCACGAGGGCCCTGACGTGTTTTGTCACAGACCATCTCTGCTAGGCCATCTGGGGGTGTGGGGGCTGCAGGCTTGTTTTAAGGAGCGCAGGAATCACCAGAGAAACACCCGTGTGGCAGCTACTCACCACGTAGGAGTATCGCTCCCTGGACTTCCCTTCCCGGCTCACGTTAACTGTCACCACATCAGAAAACGCCTCCTGAGCCTCTCCGGTCCGGCACACGATCCTGCGGTGGGAAACAGAAGGCCATCTGTCGTGCTGGGGGCGGAGGGGCCCACGGCCGCCTCCTCCTCCTCCTCCTCCTGGGGGTTCAGGATGGGGGACAGGCCGGGGCAGGGGACAGGAGGGTGACAGGGAACTCCTGCCTGGCTCCCCCAGCACTCACGCCTCAGAGACGACGTATCTGTGGGGCAGCGGCGCGCAGTGCACGCTGCCGATCCTGACGGCTCCCAGGACGTCGCTGAAGCGTCGGCCCAGGTTCCTCCCGCGGATGGTCAGCAGGGTCCCCCCCTCCAACGGCCCACGCAGCGGCTCGATCTGCGGCACGAGGGAAGGTCGGTGGAGAACCACCAGGAAGCTTCTGGCCCCCGTCCCACCTGTGCCCCCGTGCAGACGCAGGGTGGCTCCTCACGCCCGCCGCCGCGCTCCCCTCCGCTGCAGCTTTACAAACGAGAAGCCAGTGCACTTCTACGCTGGGTTTGGTGCCAGGGTTTGGTCCAGCTGCAGACACATCTGGGGGGAAGATCCTTCCACGCCACAGCTTGGAATGGAGTTGGGGCAGAGACAAGCGCGGGGGAGGGATGCAGTGTGCTGGGCAGAGCGCCCTGCCTCACGCTTTAAGGGCTGTCCTGCACACAGCAGGGCCCTTCAGCACAGAAACAAGACAAAAGTGAGCGAGAGCAGCTCCAGCTGCAGGCGTGGAGCATGGCTGGGACACCGGCACCGTGGCACCCCCGGGTGCAGGGCGAGTCTGGCTGTTTTCCATCCACTTCCTACCCCCAGGGCTTTTCACTGCCCCCCTCCCCGCTGGGCGCTGGGTGTGAGGAGCATCCCCGGGCACTGCGACTGCATCACTCTGCGGGTGAGACAAATGCCTGCAGCTCAGAAATGGCTCTTTTCCCCTTGCAAAGGCAATGGCGCACAAAACCAGTGCAATGCACCAGCTGGACAAACTGAGCAGGACCCTCCTTCACCTGCTGCACTGCCCCCCCCCCCCCCCCCC